TACCTAGTTTACGTAGCATGCAACAAAAATAAAATTAACGCCAATAAAACTAGAATATTATGTGTTTTAATTAGTACGTGTAATCTTATGTCGCATAATGTTTTATAATTCCTAGTTTTTATATTCACATAATAAATTACTTAGCCATTTAATAATTTCATGGTCACTATCTGAAACTCAAGCAATTCCGTAAATTATGCAACGCACTATAGACTTGTAATGTCTATTGTCATTTAGAATTTTTATACGTCGAGTCCATACGATTATTTGTCGCAATACAAACTTTATAGAAACTGCTGATTGCAACAAAACTTTATACTAAAAGCGACTACGCGTGTTTCAAGACCCGTTTAAAATTACATTGCCCATCACCCACCCCTGTTTGGACACCTACTGTGTCAACAGCGCTTGAGCTGCACTCTGCATCACCTAGTTACGTGTCAAACATTGTTTAGCAGTTGTTTTGTTAGTGTTCTGTGGCCAGTTTGCTTACAATCAGGCGGCGGGCCACAATCATGCGCGATAGCAAAGTTTTACCAACCTTTGTGCATAATTCACAACGAAATTTCAAATATGTAAGCGCGCACGCGTTTGCCACGCTTCGGGCACGTGAAACAATGCCATTATGTTTCATGAACAATAATATTGTTAGACAATACCAATTCAGGCTTCAGCAACAAAAGTCGATGACTCCATTATTCATTACGTCACAATGTACGTTTAATGCCCATTTAATAATCGCTGATGTCGTACAGTTCGGTCCATTAATGTATTAATAATTTACAACCTTGTCACAGTAGTAGACTATTTAAAGCCGTGTCTAGAGCTTTTATTAGTTTGAACAAAAATGAGGTAAATTAACAGTAACATTAGTAAATATCGTAAGAAATGGGCGAGGTTTTTGAACGATCGTCATTTGATTCTTGGCGCTACCCCATCACCCACAATTAGTGTAACCCCAAGTATTAATTACATTGTCTAATGGAGTGAACAAGGTTTGTTCGGTGACGCGTCCCCGAATGTGTACACACCCTAATTGTGAGGACTAGTTCAGGTTCGGTTAAATGTTTTCAGATTTGTTGAGTACTTATTTGCGTTTTTACTTTTCAATAATCGCAGTTGTAGGTATAATATAATGTACGTTCAAGAGTAGGGGCAATGTGGAGCATATTTTCTGCATTTTTTGGAATAATAACAATTATTTTTAAACTATACAAGTTTATTTATTCAAAATATGTTAAATGATGTAAAGTGTAAAACTATTCGTTCGACTATTGACATGCTTTACATTTTAGTCAAGCAAGAAAGAAATTTAAGTGTTAGGTTTTTGCATTCCATAAATATGGAAACTGTATATAATGATAATATGAAGATGCATCCTATCGCTGATATAATCCTTGCAGGCAACAGAAGCACTCTCAGCGTGGTTGGCTCTTATAAATATTAAACGTACTGAGAGCGGGACCCCCAACAAAATCGTTTATCTGGTCTCCGTGGAAAAACCGCCAGAATTAGCAGCGGGGGGTGGATTAAGGCGGACCGCACTTAATCCTTCACTAAGAAGGCTTTGCTTAAACGAGTTCTAACGAGCTAAAGATAAAACAATTACCGGCGACGTGATTAAGAGATACGGAGGACACTTGTTACGTCTTACGTTGATGTCGACGACACTGTCCCGACGCTTTGACGGGCTATTTACAGTGTCTTTCAGTTTGTTTAACTCGTTTAGGTAACTTTATTTGCAACAATAAACTTATTATAACGCCAATTCCTTGATAAGTTCAATAAGACGCCGAAAGATTCCATTTCCGGGGCGTCGACGATTCACTCCCCCTATTACGCAGTAAAAGATCGCAATATCAAATCGGGCGTGACGTTTGTCGTTTTATCACCTTGTCACTCCTCCTAATATTTTTTTACCTCAATTACGACTCCCTCCGCAAGCGCAAATAACCGTTCCAGAAGATTAAAATAAAATTCTTGAGAATATTGATACTTGCAGAGCTCGGCACAATGAAACTTGCGGAAGGAAACTCGTTCAGATATCATATCAGGAAGTATGTAGGTACTAACATTTTTTTTACAAATATATACGTATAAGAACTAGCAATTACTTTCAACTTAGTCTGGTTTTTTTAGATACAATTTAGACAATGTCTACATTCGTGATACAATATATCCTCACGTTTCATTAAGATTTGTTTAGTTGTGAAATAGTTCTTCTTTTGCTTCTTCGTTCGCTTAGATATTTTAAACTACGCAATGGATTGTAATGCATTTTATAGCAATAGGTAAAATGATTAAAGAGGAAGGTTTATATGTATGATACAAGAACTCCCATACCAAACCGGGACAAATATAACAAAAATTTATAATATATGAACTAATTTCTCATAAACGGGCATATACTGGGCGTATATGGTAGATATGTTAGTATATGTTAATAAACAGTAATCAAATACGTTCGAGATTTAAAGATTAATTTAAGACTTCCTAAAATGACGACCAGCTTAAATTCAAAAGTGCCTCCGAAAAAGCTTATAAAAAGTAAAGAAATTAATCTGCAATTCAAAATCCTACTTTGCCCTCTTATATTTTTTATTTCTTTCTTTGAGCTCGCGACAAACGTTCTTATGAAAGACATTTATATCTATCTAATTTAGAGTAAAATGTTTGTAGTATTTCATCTTGTGGATTAATATTAATTACTTACGTTTAAATTGTTACTATTAAACTTTATTACCTGGCTTAGTATGTAAACATGCTATAACGAACTAATCATTCTTTCACTTGAGTTATAAAAAAATATTAATATTAGCCATTCTGGCTATTTCAAAAAAAATATTTTATGGATGTTTATGAATCGGTGCTTTCGTTTGCATGTACAAGCTGTGCACCAGTGTAGGGTGATACGATGTTCATGCTCATCGTCAGGCCATCGTGGTAGATTTAGTGAATTCATTAGAATTAACCGCTATGGTTCCCAGGGAGATTTCCGTGTAGGGCAACCTGACATGAGTGATGCGGCCACTAGTCCCTATTATGTGCGATCCCTTCTCTCTCTCTCTCTCATATACAAATGAATTGCAAATTAATTACCTGTTACATTGACTTAAGCTTTTGCGTGCATTCGGCATTCATTGACGAAATCGAATTCGAGTCGCGGGGCTCTATAAAACTAATTACGTATCGAAGCGATCTTCTTCCACGCTTTCTTACGTGCCTTTCGCATTTCCATATAAGTTGAGCTTTAAACGAGCCAATCTATTCACGTCTACACATCAGGGGGTCGCATTTGCATATAGAACAGAAATTTATTAAATCTACAGCCAATATCCAACGTTCCGACATCGAACTTTTGCGTCTTGGTTGCGTCTCTGATATTTTTATTGGATTGTAAAAGAGCTATTTGCTTTAAGGTAACCCACACCTATTGGACCTATTCAAAGAACGTATTATATTGTAGGTATACATGTATAGAGTACAAAACGATGAACTTGATCATGACCTTCTTTGAATGGCAAACGTTCTTTTTAATTAATCTCCTCGATTATATAACTAAAAATTGTTTCAGTCAGCACTACAAAAACAAAAATTACAAAACATTTTTACTCGGCTAATGGCTGCTGTCCAATGATGTCATGTTTTTTTGACAGAAGACGCTAGCTAACGATATTTTAATTTACTCACCCTGAATTAAATAATTCATTGCTTTTAATTCTTGTCTCGCCTAAAAGCTTTTATCTTTTAGTCTTCTACTCATTTAAAACACTATCCAATTCTAAATATCGCGTTTTGTACTATCTATATTTACGATCTTATTTAAATTTTCATTCACAAATACAGCAATTGATTAAACAAAATAGTATTAGAACCAAGATACTTGTACTCAAGAAAACACTGTTAATTAGATAAATTATCAATTTTGATTTAGAGGAATAGCCGCAAGCGAAGGAAGTTGACAGTTCTAACGAAAGGACGTCGAAGGGAAGATTTCAATATTGAACCCTTTGAAATTATGCTTTAAAATAGATATTAATTACCGGTTAATGTTCGTTTTCGTTTTTGTTTTATGAATAGAATGAGATTCAAAGGCATCAATGAATTTCATTTACGTTGAATATAAGAATTGAAACTAGGTTAGATTTACCAACGTGTAACTTTACATTCTCACATTCATTATAAAATAATGTATACACGCCGGTAAGCTAGAGCCATAAAGCTTGTAGAATGAGTTGAGTGCTGGTGCATTTTAATTAATTCTCTTTTCTATCGTGATGCGGTGTTATCAGTCTCCCGCAGGCGACGCGGACAAACAAATAGCTGTTGTGCCCCGGACCTAACGATTTTGACACCACCGTTATGCCTTTTTTTCATGGTGTAGTCTGTTACCTTATTTACAGATACATGTTATATCAGCTTGCCTCTCGAACTTACTTATTACTTAATAGTGAAATGTAATATGTAAAAATAATCATAATTAGTTATTTAAAAAATTAAACTTGCTAAGAATGTAACATAATTTAATAGATTCGAATATCTGTATATTGTATGACTCCGTCTACAATTGGACATAGGTTTTCATATTACTTAAAATTTTGATCGTAACTGGGCGTGTTTTGACGGAAGTTATTCTTAATTGGAGCATTAAACAGGCACGTTGAGTTTGGAAAGGAATATTTGGATAGCCGTGATCATGGATACTTGTCCCAAAACAAGAAATTTTAAGACATTGAATAAATTAAATTAAAAAATAAAGAAAATGAAACTCGAACCAGTATCCTCACGTCATCCGAACTAATGATATTTTCGATTGATTTTCATTTATTTATTCTGACTGAAGTTACAAAAGCTTAGAATAAATACTGATAAAGTATGACTATTACATAATATTGATGACTTAGGACCCCTAAGAGATTAATCTTATGCCTACAATGTATATGTATTATAAAAAAGAGGATGTTCTTGTGTGTTCTAATCACAATATTATTTGTTCGCAGGCTTTGGATGGCCAAAACATTTACAACGGTTGCTGCACACTCCGTATCGACTACTCGAAAATGACCTGCCTTAATGTGAAATACAACAATGACAAGTCTCGGGATTACACTAACCCTACGCTGCCATCGGGTGACAGCGACGCCCATCAACTGTTGACCAGTGAGTTGATGCCACTGCGGGCACGCCTCGCCTTGGCCCTCGCATCCAGGATGAGTTAGTCTTCTACTACTCCGGGCACCTGGACGCTTGTATCACCATTCCCCGTCTATCACACATTTATTATAGCTTTAGTTTTCTACAGAAATCTGCGATGAACCTGATATGCATTTGTTCTGATTCAAGACTTTGACTTTCCCATGCACAAATTTGATATTATACCTTTATATTCTATGTTAATTTCTTCTTATTGACTTTATAATATTGAGTTTTGCCTAACTTAAATCACAGCGTCTTATCAAGAAATTCTGGTGCTTTATTTCCTAGTCCTAATTGCAAACTCTATTGTTAATATCTCATCCTGGTTATGCAAACACAGCCTGTAACTTTTTTATTTGCTGTATGAATTGTTTATGTCACTCCACATTATTCGGGTCTTGCAAAATTTATATCATTATAAAATTCTGGTTAACTTTCTGATAGAAACTGTCTTCAATATATCCACAATATAAATGTCACTATATTCACGTTCACGTTCTCGTTTCTTTGTTTATATTAGTAATTAATTAATTTAATTAATTAAATTTAGTACTAGACTAATATCTTCTCATACGTTCACATATATTGCACCTTTAAGGAATGTAATATGTGCGATTATTCAAAAACAAAATTAAATATATTTTGTAATTTTAACATCTTTTTTAAATTCGATCATATGGTAGGAATTTTAAATTTATTACAATTGTAAAAAAATATGTTAAAATAAAATGAGATGTTGTGTCTAATCTATTTCGTATAGTACTAAAAAACTTTTCAATTTTCTTTAATAAACCAATTACTGCTTTGTAAGTTTACTAATTATTTACATGCTCATAGCAGCAACACTTCAATGTCTTTTAATTTCCTATAGGTGGAGGTGTGCTAGCACCTCAGTTTTTAGGACTTGGTTCAGGACTGGCTTCACCATACGGTGTCGGCGTTGGCGGAGTAGGGTTACCTGCATTTGGTGCACTGACCCTGACACCGGCGTCCCCTGCCCTGCGAGCCCTCGCTGCACCTCCGCTACCCCTCGCTACTGTACTCCTTGTATCCAATCTAAATGAAGAGGTTAGTAACCTAGTACGAGCTGTTCACAAATGAAACACAAAGGCGGATGATATTTATGATTATGTTATATCTTTTTGTTGTCTCTACCCGCCCTTCTACTTCCTAAATTTCTGTACAATCAAGGCAAAAGTAAGATTGACAGCGCTTAAACATACTTCTTTATAATTAAAATACAGCAATTTCATAAACTGTGGAACACAGATTCTAATAAGATCATGAATATATTCAAAACTCATGCTACTTACGAAATTTAGAAAAAATATATTATAATATTCCAAAATAGTTGTAATATTTATTGGCCAATTTATTCAATAATCTAACACTAATAGTCAGTAACGTCTGTAATTGACTTCATTTGATGACTTGTTTAAATTCATCTACGATAAGATTGACTAATACATCCACTAATATCGATGGCGTTACAGGCTATTTATTACACTTATATATTCTATTTAAATTCCTTAAAAATAAGTTGCTAATTTATTTATAGATATGATGTCAAATATCTTTTACGACTATTTATAATACTGTCTCTTTCTCTTTCCTATTGTTTTAGATGGTCACGCCTGACGCTCTCTTTACCCTTTTCGGTACGTGTGCACATACATTCCGTATTTTATATTAAAACATTAATATTGCTCCTGAGCCCTGTCGCCTGGAAGACAAATTGTCACCTAACATTCTCAACTTCTGTACTGATAACAGCATCCGTTATGTCAAAGCTTTGCTTGATAACACTATCAAATCTAAACGCTTTATTAACTTTGACAATTTGTGTTTCAGACGCCTAGATGTAGCTAAGTTAGTTAGTGTCTATTGTCTACCCAGTGTTGTCTTTATTTTTTGTTTTTCGTCTATTTCATTTATTTATTATTGATACCAGTTTTATTCTGCATCTATTTGTATAAGTAGTATATTATTTAGGTAAATGTTTCTGTTGCTACAAGATTTTTAAGATAATGTTATTAAAATTATAAATATAATACAGACATCCATTTTATAGATTTTAATGTTATTGCATATTTCATTTACAATAGAAAAAAGTAAACATTGATAACAATTTGTACTTTTTAAAATATTTTAGCTTAATACAACCGGCCTTAGCGGAGGTTTCGCTGTTAATGCTAAAGCATTTATCGGAAGCTTTACGTGACCAATTTAGAGCTTTAATTTGTTATTTCTTCTTGTATCATTTCCGTCTGTATCTCGTTTCACGACATTATTATGTATTACAATATTACTAAATATCTTGTGTATTATTATCTCAATAACCTAAGGTTTTAAATGTAGCCGTTTTAGTTTAATTTACTATTTCTCTAAATACTTTCTATTACTGGACAACATTGCAGGTAGTCTCAATTGGGTCGCGTCTTACGTTATAATTATCAAATATATAGTAAACATTTATAATTACAATGATTTACGAAGTAATACACATTTGGGACTGCCATTTAAATGAAGGGTATTACATAAACAATGAATGAGGATATTTGATCTCGATAAGATTGTTTTAATATAATGTTGATGTGTTTACCTTAATAAAAAATAATCTGGATCAAATGTCCAGTATCTGATACAATGAAGCTAATAAATTAAAATACAGCAGATAATAAGCGTCTGTTTTTATATTTAGGCGTGTATGGCGATGTGCAACGGGTGAAGATCCTCTACAATAAGAAGGATTCAGCATTGATTCAGATGGCGGAACCTCACCAGGCTCATCTCGGTTAGTTTTTTATGGGAAATATTCAAACATACATCTATATCTTAAAATTTGTTGTCTTTTTACTTGGTGTATTAGAAGTTTGCTACCAGACAAGCTTTAAATGGAAACGCCACAAGAGGCCCAGGGTCAGCTAAATGTAATTTTAGATTTTCTATTGTTTGTACTAATCTGCTTTACTTCAGAAAGAAATAAAACAAGACGAACTAGGAATCAATGTTGCTACGACCCAAAAACTACTGTAAGATAATTTTATTAATTATTAATTTTCTAGTAAATATAACGTTGTTGTACAATTTATCCACAGCTATGACGCACATGGACAAGTTACGTGTGTTTGGCAAGGCGATGCGTGTTATGCTCAGCAAGCACCAGACTGTGCAGTTGCCTAAAGAGGGCCAGCCGGACGCAGGACTCACCAGGTAGTGAACATTCCTCAACAAAATTTTATCCCTTTAATTTCTGTACTTGATATTCTTTAATTTAGATTTGTTTTTATGTAATTCAGTTTTTTAATTAATATTTTAGTTAAGTATATCGAATAAATGTATTGAGTTTTCGTTTAAATATATTTTAAATAAATTAATATTATGATAGATATACAGTGAGCACAGTTCTAAAGATATTGTTATTAATTATTCATAATTCTTTTTTAGGGATTATTCTCAGAGCCCACTGCATAGATTCAAGAAGCCTGGCAGCAAAAACTACCAGAACATTTACCCTCCAAGCGCCACATTACATCTATCGAACATTCCGTAAGTCTGATATTTCACAACGATATATTTTTATGGGCATAAAGAGCTTGTCTCATTCAATTTTCTGCTTACAGAGCAACCGTGTCGGAGGATGATATCAAGGATGCCTTTACCAAACGGGGATTCACAATTAAGGCATTCAAATTTTTCCCGTGAGTTCTTTTTACAAATATTTATTTCATATGTTTTCTATTGTTGACCAATTTTATTGTTAAGAAAAATAGCAACAAAACACTTTAATTTATAATCAATTCAACGTGACAGGAGCAGGCTTGCCACTGTCTCTAGGATCTTTTTTAGTTTTGTTATAGATAAGAATACATCCATAACAAAACTAAAAAAGAAACTAATTTTTTGGTGTCGACCAGGGTTCAATTGGCGAACTTTGAGTGTTTTAATTAAATCGGGGTAGTACAACCACTATACCACGATGCTCAGCTTAAATCTTTCCATTATTTATTTCATAATATAACAAGTATATTTAAAACATATAGGAAATATGTATATCTCAATTAGAATTAGAAACTACGTCCTACCTAATGCTAGCTTCTAGCATTTTGACATTTGTTACTTACTTGTACTAAATAGTGATAAGAGCAGACCAGTCCCTACAAGCAGCACTCGTTCACGAGTATGACGGACGAGTCAGCCATCACTGCGCTCGACCATATTTTAGGGAGCCCAATGACCCGGCCCACCACGGCGCCACATGTCTGGACATTTTAGTGAGCATGACTCACCTCACCTCATTCCACTCGACCTCGTCATAGCTACTTATTTTAATTTATTATATGATAGTTACAATATTCGCACTTTACATAAGGATGCGTGCGGCAATCACTACAAAAGCCGCTACGCTATCATATTTCAAGAAAGTAGTTTGAAAAAGAAATTATAACGTTGTCCGCTAAAAAAAATATTCTTGCTAGATATTGCTGTCATCTATGAATTCATCTATCCTATAATGGGCTTTTTTACATAACATTTGTTTAATATAAATTTTGAATTGCCTCTCTGTCAGATTTTGTGTAGATTCTGGCAGTTTATTGTAAAATCTTACGCAATTATCATAGAATGAATTACTAACTTTGGAAAAAGTAACAATCAAGTTTCTTGTAGGTTTTTACTAGCAATTTCATTTGGAAACCTAATTGAACCGCATGTATCCGAAATGAAATCAATGAAAATATGACTAGCAGTACGAATATAATAAACATTCTATTAATAATTTTTCTTTTTTTGTGTTAATATTGGGTTTTATGCTACCTTTGTATTGTATAATATTTAAAGAAAGCATCAATTCATAGAAAAGAAATTAATATTATTTTCTGTTCTAATTACAGGAAAGATCGCAAGATGGCGTTGGTGCAGTTGCCGACAATCGACGATGCAGTCGCGGCACTTATCAAAATGCACAATTATCAATTGTCAGAGTCGAACCACCTAAGAGTGTCCTTCTCCAAATCTAGTATCTAAATAGATCGACCACGCAGCGTCTTCGGAATATCACACTATTGTCACGCGTCTCAACGCAGATTCGAGCTTTCTGCTGTTTATGGCCTCATGGAGCAATGCCTTCGCTCACTTCGGCTAAATTATAATTATTAAAATGGTAGTAATTGTGGCATATCGGCACACACATGACTGTCAGTGAATGAACTCATTGACGCGTTGACAATACTTCTGTACCTCTCACAGAATCGAGAATTTTACTCGACTGAAAATTAAAGTAAATATGTCTGTATTACGCTTACTTGGAACAGTATAGATATTAAGTGCTACTCTATTTTCTTAATACGATCGTTCTACTGTTACTGTACATCATAATCTAAGATACTATCGTCATCACATTATAAGTGCGGCAGCTACATAGCGTTATTATTAACAAAACTTATTACACTTACTGTTACATTTGAGAGGATCTTTTTTTATTGTGTGATATTCATTCCATACATTGTCTATTATTAATTAATATTTTTATTTTTTTATGAACTTGTAATTAGTTCCAGTAATTACAATTGAATTATTTTGAATTTTGTCAGCACAGCAATTAGATTGCGCTAGGTTTGTTTACATTTGGCATATTTGTGTGTTACTACCTTAATTGCGATGTTAAACATTGCCTCGGTTATTTGTGGTTGTTTGTACGACTGACTTTGAATGCCACCATAAATTTTATATTCACCACTATATAAATTGTTGAAAAATGTTTCTACTTCACATATAATTTGCAGTTATTAATACTAATATTATATTTTATAAATATATTTTATTCTCTATTTTAACATGCACAATTTACTATATTATTAGCATTTTTGTAAGTAATGAATATTATATCAAATAGTTTTGTACGCATACACATTTTTCTTTCTTATTTTTTTTATTAATGGAATGTTATGTTAAGAAATGTGTATGTGTGTGCAATATTAGTTTTAGTAATAATTTTTAGTAATATATTTTAGTTCTTGCATGCTTCCATACTCGTTTCATTGTTTAGATGAATATTATCTGTTTAGCTTCAGTGCTTCTTGACTATTAGTTAGTGTAATCACAACTCTATTGCTAAGCATCTAGATTATATATCACTGTTTAATCGTTGTTCGGTGACATAATAGTGACATGATGCATTTATTTCGATGTTAATTTATAATAATAATGATAGTAGTTACAACATACTATAAATGCTCGTGCATACATTTTCACTAAGCAGTTAATTATAGATAATTATTTATTTTGTCTCTGGTCGGTAGCTATGGTCCCGCAGTGTGGATATGATCGCGATGACGTATTTTTTAGAATAATTTTCAGTGTAATATTAAGATGTATCCACACTGCAGCCATCGAAGATGCGACGGCACTCGAGAGTATACAGAGATCTGAACGTGCTCTATGACATGTATAATCAACAGTATTTATTTACACTAGGTCACAATAACTACTTTATGAAGCAGTATTTTAGTTAAATAACTCTCCACTACACCCTTCATTTTGTATATAGATATACTCCAACTTCGATAATCTAATATACAGACGTCAGTCAAATGACGACTCATGTTTATTTTGTGAGAACTAAATTGAAACGATTCACAAATAACAAATGATTGAATCCCTGCACTATTATAATCACCATAAAACAAGAGGCGCTAATTGTCTATGTCTGTATATTAAGATATTCACGCTTCTTGGACTATCCGAGTTCTAGATTGGATTTCACACATCTTTGCCTTCTTAAATTAATTAAAAATGCGTCTAGTCCAATGCAAAAGAGATTAAGTTTGTGGGTAAGTGATTTTACTTTATGAAAAAAAGAGTGTAATTCGTCTCAAATTTTCAAACTCTGGTAGGAAAAGCTTTGGTAAGAGAATGTTATTTATTGTAATATAAATTTGATCTTAGAGTGATATCCAAGGAAATCTATGCTCTAACTGTTAGGACCAGTTTTAAGTGTTCAGTTACACGTCCAGTTTATGTGATTAGGCAAAGCATGCGTGAAACATATACCTGAATTATGACGAATAAGGAAAACAGACATTCGCGGGCGATATCCACTTGACTCATCTAATAACATTGTATCTAATGAAAGTATTAACATTAAATGTAAAGTATTAAGTCATTACAATACATACATATCTTGACAATGCCACCGTTGGTAATTCAGTAATGTGGGGGTTTGCTTAGAGCGGGTAAGATATATAACGCATAATGTGGCACAAGCCTTAGGTAAGGATACTGATGAAATGATTACTGTATAACAGATTTCATTAGTTCATTTTATTAAATGTAATCCATAGACTAAATACTGTATGAAATCAAATAACTTCCCTTCATCTCAACTCAATCTGATGTCATTAAATAAATTACATATTTACACTATTTTAATGTATATTATACATCACGTACCGATTATTAATCAAATATAGAGCTTATAAGACGATTAAAACTGAAAAAAAATATAGATTGTCATTACGGTATAAGTTAATAGAAAAATTATTATCATACAAATGTATTAATCAGTACCTACTTTATGATAAGGAAATAAAAGTAGTTATTTGGTTTAGATAATGTTAGGTGACCAGGGTGTGGTGATATTTTGCACGTTTTTGAAAATGTTTTTCTAATGAGGTGCAGGATTCTGTGCCTGTATTTTGGAAATGATTGTGAAAAATGGTTTGCGAGTGGTGGTGGTTTGTATGCGGCGAGCTCGGCGGTATCGCATTTGTAATTTTAAATTATTATTACGTATTTAATTAAATGTAAAACAAAGAGGAGATTACATATCCACTGTATTCAGCGTAGAACGCTACACACACGCCGGCGTACTGGCGTCGTTCGTAATGTTAATGTTTCAACAATTCAAAGTGCTTACAGCTCAACCCTGAGAGTGGGCCTGCAACTGTGTGTAGCGTGTCCAGGCCTAAATTATTTCTCAGTAACATTGGTATTGACTAATAGATAATTATAGTGATTTATGTGTTTAGAAAAGTATTTTAAATATTTAGATAATAATGGTAATATACTATTAAAAATAATAAATAGTTCAGTGTTTAGGATGAGATGCCAAATTTAAAGTCAATACACATTATTTTAAGTAAAAGGTAATTGAGGTAATCTTAACATTTATTGAAAAGTTGATGAAAATGTTACAGTTAAATTATATTTGAGAGTTTTATTAAGCGCAATATATGCAATTTTATTCATTGTAAGTGAACATTGTTTCAATTTGTTAGTTAAAGTTATGCGTTAAAAATGTGAGAGTTGTTTTCGAATGTCTTCATGGATCGATCGCTAAGTACTGTACTGACGCGATACTTCCGTATGTATGTGCGTCGACAGTTGACAGTCGACAGTCGACAGTCGGCTATGTTCCCATCGTCTCCCTTATGTTTCACATTAAACATATCTCTGCATATCATTCTGTGTATGCTTTATTATTGCGCTTTATATTTATCTCTTATATTAGCTGTACTTGGTATCTAGTATTACATAAATATATGCATAACGGCCAACATATCAATACATAGAGATTTGGCTAAGGCGCATGTATCGTAAAACTTTTATATCCTTCAATTTTGTTTTATTTAATGTTGTCTCCTTTTATTATCGCAATGGCGGCTGTTTTCTATATTTCGATGTGTTTTTTTATAGTGTTTAAAAAATGTCGTCATCCTATTTTCTTATTTTAATATTAAGCCTTTTGTGTGTTTAATTTCATTCTTATTTTAGTTTCATTATAATTAAACTATTATTATCATTGAATAACTTTTTGTTCTTTATTTTTCGCCATTCCTTCCTACCATGTTCCCTTTTTTCTAACAAACTTGATACCAATTGTCTAAAGTACGACAGCGGTGCGTTGATGTCAGAAGAAATATTATTATTTTTATTTTATTCTAATTCATCATATATTTTATGTCGTATTTATAAATTCACCCTACATTTTAATTTTATCCAATCATCTTGAAAGACACGGAAGATATTATAAATGTATTTGTAAATAAAACTTATAAATTTTAAAGGGGATCAATATAAAGAAATGATGTACATTAGTACACAATTGGTATTCTAGACATATTCGTACTTATAGATCTAAACTAAACTATCCTGACGTGAATATCTACACACGACTATATTTTAAAATTATACCTATTGTATATCTATTGCGCTTCGAGAATAGTATAAAATCTACGAGCATGTGACTTAATTTTCGTCTAATTTTCGAAGTCGACTGACTCGAGCATGAATTTAGACAAATTGCAATTGTTGTTTAGTTAAATTGTAAAGGGAGTAAGGGACTTTAAATATTGCCAATGATATATTTTGTATAATATTATCAAGTGGAATATATATCGCACAGGGTATAATGTGAATATATTTAAACGCTGCTCTCGACATTCGAAAGGTCGGGGTGGTAACTTTATGTCCGTGCCACGTCCCTTATTCCTGTCGCGTGGAAAGAACTGACCCATTCCGTATCGAAGCGGTGTATTAGCAAAGGATTTACGTCTAACTGCCAATTGATAGGCTGATAATGTGATTGATGTACACCAAATTTAAGGAATTTGAAAAGTAAAACCACAGGAATAAGAAATTAACGCAAGCACACGAATCCTATAAAATGGCAGTTATTCTCGTGTTAAAATAATCAGCGGATGTAAATATTATAAACAACTATGTTAATAATTACAAATTAAATTAATAGTATCTATAGAAAAGATTAACATAATCATTACTTTAAGATTTAATAGTTAAAATAACCTATCCTAATTTCAGTAGTCGCTCTAGTTAATTAATTCCTAACTTAACGAGGTGAATCTTCCTAGGGAGTATTGTTGAGGATACCCACCTTCCTTGTTTGTTCCTCCAAATTCTGTTTTAGTTGTTCATAAAAAAAATACTAATGGTGTGCAAATTAAAGGGTTGTGTGTAAAGTTAAAATAGTTAATAGTTTTAAACGATTATTTGAGGAACTTGACGTTATCTCATCATTTAATTAACAAATGCACATCAAGTTGTTTCAATCATAGAGTGAATTCGCTGATATGATTCAAAACTGTCAATATTTTTAGTATTATTGAATCAATATGCCAAAGACCAATCATTGGGATATAATAAACAGGGATCTAATGTTTTCTTTCAATCTAAATCTTTCTCTTAAAGGAAGTCATATACCTATTACTAATAAATTAAATATTAAGCTTTAACAGGCGTGTTTCAATAGAAATGTATTTTCATGTCGATGAAACTAATTTTGTGAAGGCCAAAGTGCTCTCTTTGGTTATCAAAACCACACTATGTCTACAGCATATAAATTATAAAATATTATATACACAATATTATCATCTAAGTGACTACCCTATTGACTCTAGATTTATTCTTTGTCATTTTATAATAAAATATAGTTGAAAATCGTATTTTTATTTTATTCTGACAACCCTTAATTATATTAATTTGATATTAATACGTGAAGCATAAACTGTGTACCTACGTCTTTTTACAAAAATTGTATTGAATTTCGCAGACTTGTAGTTTACTTAGAAAAAGAGTGCAGAATGCTACCTAAGGTTAAAAAAAATGTATGAATATAAAACCTTAAAATAATCATTACGCACACTATATTACGTATTTGACACACACACGTAGGTATACTCTTTGTTATTATGGTCTAATTTACACCGCTGGATGACCACAAGTTGTACTAAAAATAAGAAAGCTTAATTTCGTTAGAAATGAAATAAAAATAAAATATTATATCATAATACCTACATAGTATTTTTTAATACAATGAAATCAGATCCATAGGTAATGAAATGTAAATAAGTATATAAAATACATAGGCATATCTGTGAAATAATCCTTCGATCTTGTAACTTAGTAAATTTACACATACCTATACCACAGAGTAGTGAACAAAATGTTCCCAATGGGAACGGAGCCCGTTGCAATATCAGTAACATAGTACTTAAACTTAAAGATTAAACTACGATGGTTTCTATAAGTGGAAGTCGGTATTTAGTCTATGATTTAAAAAGTAACCTACAGTTTTAATCATAGGGCCAACAGTCCCTTTCAATAATAATTCTCTTTATATATATTTATATACTATAATATAAATGTCAAACAAGCTGACGGCCCACCTGACGGCCCCCACTGAAGGTAAATGGACAATGGGCCTCGGCAACACATGAACAACAATACGAATGTAGCATCATAACATCTATAGTAGCCCTTAGGCGTTGCCATTACGGAGGAATAAAGCACCATGCCTCCATAGCCTGTAATTTTCGCTAATGATGATTGATTTTGTCATGTTACAAAAGAGGCGCACAAAGAGGGTCAATTGTAATTATTGTGGCACTACACCGATTGGGCCTTATTTCTCGTTGCATTCCGCAACAGCGGTGCAAAATGGCAATGTACCAGTTCCGCTTACACCACTCCACCTAAGATCAGAATATTGTCGACTACATCCGGCTAAGAGATTTTGGGTAACGCAGCTGGAATCATCACAACGCGAGCTATGTGTTTGTGTCCCGGATCCCCACCAATATGCTGTCCATGTATATTGTTCATAAAGGAAGATTACGGGCAGTTTGCCGTACTCGGTGTGGTAACCACAGAGATATTGTAATTTTAAACTTTATTATATTCAATTTATTAGGCCTTAGCGTATATATGATACAGTTAATATTGGTATAATATAAAGTTGCGAAAAATACAAATACAGTTTACAGTATAATAAAATAACAGTGATAATGGTATTGAATAAAATAATCCATCGAGTGATTTTTAAAAAGTAGTGGAGAAACAGACAGACGCGAAGAAAAGACAATAATTCTCAAGTATTTATTTTAGTTCTATAACTAAAGCTGTTTAAGTAAATACAAAATAGAAATATATACATATTGTTTAGACATTTTTGATTTGAGCGTTTGCAAAACTTACTAAAATTTAGGAATTAAAAATAAAATACCCCAAGATATTGTTGGCAGTAGTAGTTTTCTCCAAAGCTTTAGATGGCAACATTGTATCCCAAATGTCATTTAAGAATGACACTTGCCAAAGAATTGTCAATGTCAATTTATGTACTTCGATATTCGACATGTTTTTATTATGCTGAAATACTAACATTATTATACAGAGATTATTGAACATATCGATGTCAACATGCTGAGAACAGTTCTTCGTTTGACTCCTACTTTTATTTTTCCAATATTTGAGCAAAAAAATGCAAATGATTATAATATGTTGAACTTACCGGTATCTACAGTCCCTGAAAGTGGATGGGACAGGGTGAACAAAATGTATAGCAAGGAGTATGTGCTTTGTAACCTTTATATTTTTCCATAAATTCTGCAATTTCATTAATAGACAAATTTGAAGCTATGTAATGTTTTTCATTAATTATATATATTTTTACATCTCTGTCTCACCTGTTTCAACTGCCAAGCATGACCGCTTACTTTGTTAGATTTATTTCGGTTGAAGAGAGTGGTATGGCAGTAAAATTATATGGTACTGCAGCAAGACATTATTCCTGAAATGGCAATGTATGATGAGTACCGCAAGTAGTATATGATGATGTAATGTTGGTAGTGTTGTTTATGAATACACAAGGTGATCGCAACTTACCATCAAGTGTTCCATTACAGGAACCTAATTAAAATATATTTTTTCTATTGCAAATAACAATGTAATAATCTGTATTGCAGTGAATATGATGAGGTCTCCACTGAACTACACACAGTTGTACAAGCATCTCTCTGTGGTGCATTTGTAGGTGCTTGTATGGGTGGATTTACGAGCTCCAGGCAGGCATACCTGTACTTCATAGAAAACAATCAAGCAACAATTTTTAAGTCTACTATGCAAGCTAAAGTATGTCTATTTAGTTATTATGTATAAAACTAACTTACTCTACATACAAAAGCTTGTGATAAGTTTGTTTTTGATTTTATTAGCCTAATATATTTTTCTATATAACATTTTCTACTCTTTGGGTTAAATCTAAATGTGAAGTGTAACACTTCACTATAAGTCAATCTATATTATTACATTACCATTTCTCATGAGAATGAGTTATTTATAAAATTATGGAAGAATATAATAATATTTTTTTATGTATTAACATTATGATAACTGTATAAAACAAATTTACATCACTTAAATATCTAATTGTAATGTTTTGTAATATTCTAGTTAGTTATTATGTCCTCATTATTGTCTTTTGCAGAAAAAGCTACAAGACTATGTAACAGTGGCATTTGCAAAAGGGGCATACCGTTGGGGATGGAGATTAGGTAGCTTTACAGGAATATTTAGGTAACATATCTTAAGTAAGCATTTATTTGGCATTTTATAAATGTAAAATGAAATGATTATTTATACATATATGTATATGTGTCTGTAAAATGTGTTTTTAATTTTTGGATTAACTTTAACTGCTGATTATTATGATCAAATACCCTTCCCAAAGTCAAATATCCATCCTGATCTCGTGGATGGTTCTTCCAGAAACTTAGAACCAGTATGTGGTATCAATTCCCAGTAATGGTAATTACGAGCCAAAATAATATTGAACTTGTGAAGAATAGATCATATTTCTACTTAAAGACCAGGCATTCAAATGAAATTTCATTAGTGTAGTGTTAACTCATGGACAGTTGTCATTACATCCATTTCTTGTACCTATTTATTCTCCATGTTTTAAAAAACATTTCATTGATTGAATATTGGCAATTCACTTAAAATATATTTGGTGCTTAAAATTATGATCAGGTTTTTTAATCTCTTTAATTGTTAATAAATTTATCATTTCAGTTTGGTGGCTACTACAATATCAGTATACCAAAATAACACATCAGTGCTGGAATATGTAATGGCTGGTGCAATTGCTGGTGGATTATATAAAGTTAATCTTGGTTTAGCAGCAACTTGTGTTGGAGCAGGCTTGGGTATGTTTTGACATTTTATATATATTTCGAGCCTAAATCTGTGTTTCCCATATGGGGCCCACGCTCCACATGGGGGCAATTTGATTGTTAAGGGGACAGTTCGAAATCTATTAAAATTATATGGAATGTGAATCACTTTCAATTTTTCATTGCATGTTTTGAAAATTAACAATTTCCTAGTGATTTCTTTCTAAACCTTATCTAATTTAAACCACTGCCTTAGTTCCAATGGTTGTAGTTTCCATCTCATATGATACAAACATCGTTTGTAATAGTTGGGGCATATTTTTAGTACTTATAGTACAAGTTTTGTTTGGTATGGGATTAGACATTATCATTATTATTATATTATTTACATACACATTCTATTTTATTGATCTTAAAATAATGAAAGCCATTTTTGTTAAATTCTATCAAAAATTAAATTCTGACGTTGTATGGAAATTATAAATTATCTAATTTTCGAATTTTTTTTTTATTTATATGATATATATATATGAATATGAAAAATATGAACAATTTTTTTATTTCAGGCTCTATTCTAGGCCTTATAGGAGGTTGCGTCATTTTAGGTCTTTTACATCTTGTTGGAGTCAATATGGATGATATTAGAGCAGCATTGTATAAAGTTAAAGAAGCTAGGTTGGTATATACATAGTTAGTAGTAAAATCATACCCTGCTAAAAGTTAGGTTTTATGAGTATTCAACTCATAAAAGTACCACTATCACCTTTTCTACAAAGTGCAAATATAAAAGTTGAGCATTTCACATTAAATTTTTACAGGATTGTATAGTTTTATATGATGTTTTTAAGAATTATTTTCCAGTTTCCACTTGGCTACTTTGGTAATGTTGCTCAGTTTCTTGAATTCGAGTCGTGATTATTTACTATGTACTTACCTGCTTTAATTTTGTAGAGTGGATCAATATAATCAAGCATTAGAGAAATCGGCTAAAATAAAAAATGATGATTTGACAAGACACCACCAAGAACTAATACAAGAGAAGGGACAACAGAAGATAGAAGATGTCAAATAGTGAAAAATATGTGTAAATATTAATAAAATAATTAAATACATTAGTTTAAAATTTAGTTCGAATCTGTAAATATAATAATTATAATGAAATAATGCAGTTTATTAATTTCCAAGAAAAACAATTGTAATTGGTATGTCGTAGAAGAACATGGTTCTTTTCTAATTCGGGCTACTTTTTTTCGATGGTGTCAACGCTAGGCGTCGTTAGATTTGACGCAGATCGAAATTCTAGTGGATGATTTGTAAAAAGCATGAAAATAGTTGGCAGGCAAATCGGTCCACATGACAACTGTTTTGCTGAGATAGGTACATACAAGCTACAAGATAGCTATCGTAGATAGATAGATACGTAACAATATTGTATACGTATGATTGAAATATCGTATCGGTTTATACAGCCACGAAAAAAGCTGTTCACGGACCATTACGCCATAAATCGTCTATAATAGACGCATAGGCCATTATATATGATTGAAATTATTTACGCAACACAACTTTAATGTTAGAAATGATTCCATACATTTATACATAAATATCCGGCAGTTATCGAGCCAAGTCAACAAGAGTACGAGTGTACGAGTTTTCGGAGTCTAATTTTGGTGTACGGTCAGTTACAAAAATACCAAATATAGGACAAAAAAATCTATATAGGTTGTTGTATAACAACAACCACAATTTTTATCGATAATTTTATATTATTATGAAATTGATTTAGTCTATATAAATATAACAATAACGCCAATAATGTACTACCACGTACCTATAATACATTCTTTAAAATGGAAGAAAACATGATTAAAAATGTATTATTTCCAATCATTATGAAATATAAGCATTCAGCAAGAAATAATCACCATGATACCAAGAAATAAGCAACATTTGATGTTTAATTTTAGGCGTTTAAATATATTACAGCTTTACCACTATCACAAGGCTCAGGGGAGTAATGAAACCTCATTCTATTTGTAATAGAAAAATCTTAAACAGTATTATGTTTTAGCTGTTTTTATCTTGTTACGTTAATATTAATACAATAAATGAATAAAATAAAAAAATGTTGGCAAATAAACAAAGACATTATATTAAAGCATTTAATTATTATTGCACACTACATGGAACCGATATTAAAAGGTATAATTGTATTATATAAAAATAGTATGAAAGTCCTACATTTACAAAAGATAACATTTGTGCATTAAGTTATATATAGTATCGAGTGTAAACAAAATTGCTATAATATGCATCTACTTAAAAGTTAAAATTAAAATTTTACTAATATTTTCATTTGTATTTTAATTAAATGTACATTGTCATAGTTCATATTTATCATGGCAAGATGATGCGATTAAAACATTGGCAACGTAAAATAAAAGGACGATTTTATATTAGAATGCATATGTATATGTATGACATTTAAATAAAACTTAACATGGAAGAGAGAAGAGAATACCTATTAAGTATGTTTTTTAAATCCTTAGCATTCACATTACAGTGTGGTATATTTACCATTTAATAAGGGTCACATAACGTATAAATAGGGTAAATAAATGGACGTGTTGTATATTTAAAAAAATAATGGATGTATATCATAAAAACATCAAGAGAAAACATAATTAATTAGTAGGAGTTAATTTTGGTAATACTGCATGTAATTAAATAAATATTTAATAAATTTGAGCGGATCGTGAATATGGTCCGCTCTTGCTTATTAAGTACTATTTATGTATTTTTTAACCCGATAAGGACCATTTATAATGGTCCACGAACTGAAACTCTATTCACTGCTTATGTGAGAATTCATATTTTTGTCAATATTAACATATACATAATTGTATTGCAACTATTTCTGATAATTCGTAGGATACTTAATACTTGTCTTATCATCTTATTGTCATTTTTTATCTTGTTGCTTTATTGCAGTTTCGTAAACGTCTTAAAACAATATTAAATTTAAAAAAATCATTACAGAAATACATTCCAGGTACTTTTTTTTACTGTAAATGAGGTGTTTCACTATACTACATAATTCATAGATATAATGTACGAAAGAAAGTAGCCATAAAAATATTACCTAAACGAAAGAATTATATTTTTCAAAATTTATATAACTTTAAATCACAATCAAGAAATGTGAACTCTAGATTTAATGTCATAAAAGTCAAAAGGGAGAGACATTATCCAGAAGAGGAATAACAGCAATTATTAATTACACTTATAGCGATGTATTACACACGTATACACATAAAATACTAAATATTTAACACTTAAAATACTTAAAACAAATTCATGCATGTACCTAGCACATAAACAGTAGATAAATTTTCGAAATCAATGATTCACGATTTCAATCAATGAAGTAAATATGAAATTTAATGAAAGTAGTAAACATCTAAAAGAGTAATTCATTATAATTAATTGTAGCAAGTTAGACAATACATTAAATATACAGAAATATGTAATTAAATTATAGAATAGACACGCTAATAATACTACTTGAGTATTTACTGATACGTGATTGGTATATTAAAAAGCAGAGATTTACGAACACTGTTGGTATATAACTACGGTATTATAAAAATTTGCATAATAAAATTATTATATTATATTTGACTGATAAATACAGACTAGTTTTAGAATGACATCATTAGAACTTGCCTCAAGCAAAAGGAAAGTTATAAAATTTACTTGTATAGTTGTCATACGAAATGCTATAAGGGTGTCCCCCTTATTCTGACGTTCTTTTCTCTAAAAGTATATCTAAAACAGTAATTGAAATGTCAATATAATTTTAATAACGATGGAACTGCCGCAGCAAAAAAAAAATTGTCATATCAGAATTTTTTCTAATATGTAGTGCTAAATACACCAAGTAGTCTTTTAATGACAATATATAGTATTATAGAATTATTTTAATTCAGTATTTTTATTTAATAAACTGAATAGGTGTGCACATCTTTAATGCGTTTAATGTTTATATTTTGTAGTAAACACTAGCGCCATCTATATCACAATTGTGATAATTTGCATATTGTGTTCTAATAATAATTCAATTATTATGTCTTATTTCACAACCAAGTCAACAATACTAATATTTCTTCCTATATTCTTGCCAAGCAGCGTATAAAATATAATGACCAAAAAATTACAAAATCTATACATAAAAATAGTGAAAATTTTACAGTCTTATGCAAATGGACACTTCATCTTATGAGGTTTAAATAGTTAAAGTTACGCATGCTCATTACTATCGCATTATCAATTGAACAAATTAAAGAAATTAATTTAATCTTCTGGGTGTAAAAAAATATCCCAATTGTAAGAAATGTGCAAGTCTTTAATATAATAGTAAATAGTTGACTAAGGAGTAGTAAGAATCTAGGGGCAGTGTCTCATATAGGATTCTGACAGTTCAGTTTTTAATCCCAAATATACATTACATCATATCCATTTATTAAATATCACGCACTATATCTTATTATAAAAAAGCTTTCACTAAGTTACCCTTTTTAAATATGTATTATCACACTATACAAGTATATATAACAGTTTATAAAAAAATATTTCAGCAATTATATATAAAAAAGCAAAAATATTCTAAACAAATGATAACAGTTGTCAGATTGTAAACAAGCGATATATAACTATTTAAGATATTTTGTATTCCTTAATATCAAATCTGCTGTTGTAATTTACAATACATAGTGAAAAAGTATATTGGGATTTTTTAGAAGTTCCATATTTTCCTTTTGATACCAATCCTAATACATTAAATTTATAGTTAACAACATTAATAGTAAATTTTAAACAAATTTAAAGCCATAACTAAATGTTCTGTCTGTGTTATTAATTTTATATGTAAGCATTTTAAACGTCATTATAGGTAACAGTTTTTTCAATGTTAGGGGAATTAATCCATCTTATAAATCATTGTAACTATTCCCAATAATAATTAGATATATTATCTACGTTTATAATAAAAGATAATCTAGTTGTTACATTTTATATGATTCCTAGATACAACATTTAATTTCTATCGTCTTTTTGTCATATGTATAGCTATATAAATTCGGCAATATTATTTCATTAAATTATAATACCAATATAACAATCGAATAAAAAGCGAATATAAAAATATAAAAAGGTTTGAAATGAAAGGTAGTAGCATGTTTTATTCGGGTAAAAATGGATGTCAATTTAAAATAATTTATAGAGATATAAAATATTGTAACTATACTCACTTTAAATAATTACACATATGTAACTTGTAAAAAGTTGGTAAAATAACGTAAAACTGTTTAGTACCAAATAAAATAGCTTGAATTAGGGATAAGTACTAGACATCCGATAGTTATCACATCTTTATCATCATATTATTGCATGAATTTTAAATTGTAATAATTAAAATACTAATACATATATTTGCATCATGTGAGCAACGAAACCGTAAACAGAAAATACTTGTAAGTAAAATAATTTCCTAATTCGACCCATAATGCCGGTTGACTTCTCTTTGGTCGTCATACGTATTTTTTGTAATATTAATGATTGTGTTTCCACATTCATAACATTTACACTGCAGCCCGCAATTGTAAATGTAATTGTAATTGTAAATAATCTACACTCTCTTACATTTATTGAGTAGACTGCGATTTAGTTATGCGCTTGGCACCTCGGTTGGGCGGACCTTTTGGCTTGGCGAATGCAGGTCGGTGAAGGTTTCTCTTAGGATGAATTTCATCATATAGGAATTCTTCAGTCAACTCCTTACCGTCATCTATTTCCAACTGTAAAGTAATATAGTTTCACATTACTAAATAATCGGCTGAAGTAACAATCAATTGCTATGTAGATCAGACAAAGTAAATATAATAAAGGTCATATTACAATGGTTCGTGTGGTTATAATAATAATAATAAACTCTTTATTGTGCACATAGAAGAAATACAATAAAAAAAAAAAACAATAAATAGAAAATTATGAACAAAAGGCGGTCTTATCGCTATAAGCAATTTCTTACAGACAACCTGCAAGATAGGACTAACATACACAGGAGAGGTAGATGGCACACACAAGACACTATAATTATCAAACTAATTAATAGACATACATATATATATATAAATAAATAAATATACATACATATATTCAACATATTGCAAGATTTCAGAGTTAAATAGGAAAAAAAAAATTGCTATAGGGACAGATAATGAGACCTTAGACGACTTTTAAATATTGTATGAGATTGAGCGGATCGAATGGAGAGTGGTAGAGAGTTCCAAAGGCGAATGTTATATTTTGTAAGTAAATATTATTTTGTATGTAATGGATTTGTGCCTATGTACATGTTCTTATAATATTTCTGTCAATACTTGGCCCTTTGTTTAATGTACCACTTGTTTACAATGGTACTTAATTTAGATTTAACTTCAGTGTAAAGCCAGTCCTCATTATGACTCCGCGTCATGGTTCAAGTTGATGATAAGCCCAGGTAACAACTTAAATAATGCTATAATTAGGCAGTTTACAGAAATTTCAACTTTACAGTAATATTTTGTTATAAAGTGTATAGACACTTTATAACAAAATATTACTGTAAACAAATAAATTAAGTAGCAACACCTCATCACGTTATACATAGACACTACAGTGCTGAGGTGATACTATATATAGATTCCATCATTTCAAACCACCAAATCATTGAAATTGATTATCTTAATCCATTTATGGGCCATAAATATTGCAAATAGAAACAATAATTCGGCAATTTTATTGATACAATTGATTGTATACTTTATAATACCTAAGAATACTATAGAACAGAAACGACGACCTCGGTGGTCTAGCGGTCTAACCGCTTTACGTCCGATGGTCGCGGGTTCGATTCCTCGCACGGCGCAAACATTTGTATTCATGAGTACGATTGTTTGTATCGGTCTGGGTGTCTTCTATGTATAATATGTATGTATTTACGAACAAAATAAAATATCTATGTACTTGTATCAGTTATCTAGTATCCGTAACACAAGCTTTAGATAGCGTAACTTGGGACTAGATGGCGCTGTGTGAATTGTCCTGAGATTATTATTGTTATAACTTACTCGTTTTGCTATTTCAATGCCCATCCTCTCAATGATTTCTAGAAATTGTCCTTTGCAACTTGAATACATCATTCTCTCCTTTATACTGCAGGTATATCCGGGCATTGAATAAATGAAAACTGAAATAGTAAAGTTCAAATTTATTATTTATTGAACAAAACAAAACATAAAATTTTGTCCAACAGGCGAGTCTAATGCTATATGGCACTTACTCCCAGCTAACCTTAGGCGTTTGTGGGGTAATAAATAGAGAGAACTGCTTGAAATTTACTAATATACATATACAAATTATGCAACTGAAGATACTAAAACATACAAAAATATAATATAATACACTCGATTGATTTATTTACATGTACAAATACACAAATAAATGTGCACATTCTAAACACAATCCAGATTGAAAGAGACTCATAAGTTTAATTCTAAAAAATGAAATGAGAGGAGTTGTTTTTAATTCACTGTATATCTTTCAGAGAAGTAAGGCAAAATAGAAATAGGCTTAAAATCCTCAAAAAGATAAGGCAATGACACCTTAAGAAGGAAACATACCAGTATGTAAAGAACAATTAACATATAGTTTAATTTCCGTGTCTTCATTCATAATAAGAGTAGCATTTATTTCCAATCAATATACCAATATACCACACATTTTGTAAAAAAAATACTAACCAAAACTTTCCATGTGGTCACCTTCATGAGTGTGTGTGAAGATATACAGATGGTACCTCGCTTCATCGCTTGGCACTTGCTGAGGCAATTCTACAAGAGATATTTTGGCTGCTTTTGATAAATGAATCTTTTCTTCATCCAAATCTGTAAATTATAGAGTAACATACTATATACATGCTAAAAAACTTATCGTGGATATAGCTGTATCCTTGTAAATAATGCCAATGCCAATGGAAATGCAATATATTAGGATTTTGGAAAGAGATTTAGAGCAGTTTGGAAGAGAGTGGTTGGTCCACTCTCTTCCAAACTGCTGTAAATATCTTTTCAATTTACAATCCTCATATATTGCATCTGACGATTCCCTGTCACAAACCTACATGTAGTCATTTAAAACAATAACATTTTTTATCCAGGCATTTCATTCATATTGCATTTCATACATACTGGTTGAAATTTTTTATAGAAGTAGTGTAGCGGTATCACACACCGCCTAACATCCGATGGTCACGAGTATAATTCCTCGTACGATACAAACATTTGTATGTAAGATTCTTTATATGGGTCTGGGTGTTGAACATTTTACAAAAAAATATGCAGTATATCAGTTGTTTAATACTTATAGTATAGCTCTGCTCAGTTTGGGTCTACAAGACGGTGTGTGAACTGTCCTGGATTATTATAAAGTATTAAATAGGGACAGTATCAAATATAATACTATAAATTTACCTATTCTAAACTGTAAATAATTGTAAGAACCTCGTTGCAAATCAACAATGCCTTGTTCAGCATCATCTGTAATTGGGAAGCCAACACCGCCCATTGTTGATTGTCTGAAAAATTTTATAATTTAAATCTTTAACAAATATCATGACACAAACTATATTGCAAATTATATATTAAAAATCACCATCACAGCAGAGAGGAGCAAGATCTAGCTGACTCAAGTAGAAATCTTTTTTTGATAATTTATATGTAACTAGCTGTCCCAGCAAACATTGTTTTGCCTTAAAATAAAAAAACAAAAATTTAGGGGTGGACTACCCCTAACATTTAGGGTGATGAAAAATAGATGTTGGCCGATTCTCAGACCTACTCAATACGCTCACAAAATTTCATGAGAATCGGTCAAGCCGTTTTGGAGGAGTATGGGAACGAAAACTGTGACACGAGAATTTTATATATAAGATAATACAGAGGCGCTGGCACTGTCAATTAACCATGTTTTAGTAAATCCAATATTTGACATGTCAAAATTTATTGAATATATTGAATCTAATGTGGCCATTGGTGATTCGATCAATATATCTCCGATAAATTTGTTATTGATAATTTAATTAGAGTGACTGCCAGGACAATGTAGACCACATTAATATAAAGTTCTTGGTGCCAAATTCCAAATGATAATGATGATCAGATGTTTAAGTTATCTATAGTATTTAACTACAAGGTCACACTACTGAAATATCTTTTATTATAGGATTCATATTAAAAATGAAAGGATTATTTAAATGTAATCATAATAAAATTTACCTAGAGTCAGTACTGTAGTTTGTGTTATGTTCACTATGTTGAAGCTCTTTCAATGCCTCCTCCCTGTCAGTGAGGGGCGCTGGTGCACTGATACCACTTAAATGCGCTTTGTAGCCTTTGAGTGACACCTCATCCTACAAAACAAATGTTTAATCATAGTAATTGTAAGTATTCAGAAGGAGAGACGGTATACATGTATTATGGTGTACCCAATGTTGTCCAAAAATAATTAGAAGAAAAAATATTTCATATAATAATAAAAACACTTGAATAATGGTGAAATTATAAGACTTCAACATAGAAAAAAATATAATAATGTAAAAAAAATATAATAAAATATTTAGACAAAATTGATACTTATGTAACAAGTTGAAATGACATAAAATGTTACTATACCTTAACTGTGGCATGCATCTCATCTTTAATATGTGCAGATCCGAACTCTTGTTTGAGTGTTGCTTTAGTTGATGCATACAACATTTTCTGCCGAACTGGAGCACTGTCAGGGGACCAACTAAGCAAAAGCCATTCATATCCCAGAGAATTTGTCGTGTCAAGTCTGAAAAATGTACAACAAATCATATGTTATCAAATGTGTATACAAAAGTAGTTCTGTTTTCCCATACAAGTTGTGAAGTATGTTTTTAGAATATAAATTAAGAAGGAAAAAACCTTAAACTAGTTTAATTTTTTCCTCTACATACTTCATTAAAAGAAATCAACAATAAACTAAACCATTTTAATAAAAATATATTCTATATTTGGGAAATTTATATGCATATATATATATAGTCCTATATCTATACCTAGCACATTTTGGGCATAATATTAGCAAATTAGATCTTTAATCTCACCTGAACAGAATATAGCATGGCTGATCTTCAATAACTAAAGAAGGCAAATATTTATCAAAATCCTGTTCCCATGAACCTTTAACAGCATGATATTTAGCCAATGCTAGTTCCTCTGAAACATACAAAATATATTTTTATTACAATAAAAATATCTTGTTTCATGTAAGTATATAATATAAACACTTTTAGGAAGTAATACTACCATCTGTTCTGAATGAATATTAAAGATTTATGATTAAAGAACTAAACTAACAAGAAACTCACTGTGCATGAATACAAAAATACAGATATGTTTAAAGTAATATACATGTAAGTAATGCATTTTGAAGAATAATTAGTAATGTGATCAGTTCCATAACCCAAACAAACAGCGCCCACCTATTTACTAGTTAAGCCAGTTACCATTGTACTAAACCATATTAGGGATCATAATGACCCAGCTCACCATGTACTATTTATACTATTTATTAATCATTCATTGTCTACTCTGCAGCCTAAGCATTAAATTTATCCAAAGTATTGCCATTCCAAATACAAGTGAAGATAAAACATACTCATGTATTATCTATCATAAACAGTAAGAGATTGATTTTTAGAGATAAGGCCAAGTTGTTACTTTTTTGTCTTGTTTAATATTGTGTTTTTATTTTTTTATGCATAATTGTGTATGTAACTGTTTATTCTGTGAAAGGAAAAATAAAGAGTTTCATTCATTCATTGATTCAATATTATTTGAATGAAGTGATATTTTCTTTATTTAAATTAATAATAGTAACACATATCTTAAACTTAACATTTTAATCCTCTCGAATAGCAATGCAAGAGTAGCTGGTTTCACATGGTAATGTGAGATCCAATGTCTTGTTCATGTATATAGGTGACAGTCACTGCTTACCATCAGGTGGGTCATCAGCTTGTTTGCCATTTCAATTTATATAAATGTCTATTAAATATGTAAATTTACAGTGTAACAGCCATTTCAGTTTATAAAGTTAATGATAAATATTTATAGGTGAAGAACTGGTGACTGTATTAGGTATCTGAATAACCTGTGTTCTAAGAAGTCACCAGATCCTCTCATCTTACCTTATGTTATAAAAGGAACATGTAGGATAGAAGGATGTATATACACAGGAAGAATAGAGTTATGTAAAAATAAATTATTGTATGATGATAAATAGTAATGACATAACAAAGATATCAAAATAATAGCATCCCTAGTGTAGGTTGGCTACATTTTATTTTCAAAGGGACAATCTATCAAGACTGTAATAATATGAATTTTTCCTAAAACTTTTTTGCATTTTGATATTTCACTGCATTTCTTGTATTATTAGGTTCCTAATTTCTCGCTAACAGCTCACTTGTTATATTAGGTTAGTCTCCAATCCCATATTTTATTGAGTGATAGTGGAATGATGCTATTGTCTGTGCTATAGATTTACGCTAGCAGTGCAGCAATGGAGGATAAGATGAGCATGATGCTAGATCAAATAGCCCATTGTGGCAAATTCAGCAGGAATTTCAATTCATAGTTTCCAGGGAGCATTCCATGGAGGTTAATCTGTTATGGCACATTGTTAGCTTTGGGGTTATTGTCTATATTATTAACAATCCCATTCCATCCCAATCCCATATTTGTTCTTATATAAATGACATGATATATCTCCTAGGTCATTGATATTGATATATGAAATATGGGATATTCCATTAATTTGAAAGGTTGATATTGCTAACAAGTATAAGAATTGTGTACACTAAATAATAGTAAATATGCATGCAAATGTGGTTACAATATTCTATGTTTAAAGATCAAAAAATAAAATACCGTTTTCTATGCTAATTTTCATAAACCGTATATCTCCATCTCGACACTTTCCAATATACTTTTTAAGTTCTGCATTGGCTGCAATAATGTAAAAAAATATAGTTTTTATTCAATATTTCACTCAAATGAAGGTAAAATTAAGTAGGAACAGAATTATCTGCATAATATCTATTCAGTTATTATTTACCTTGGATTCCTGTTTGATGGGACATTTTAATTAAGAAATAATGTATAAACCGAAAGGGAAAACAATGTACTTCTATTTATTATTATTTTATTATAGTGTAGAGGAAAAATCAACACAAAAGAAACAGTGACTAAATATTACTGATTTTAATGAAACTGTCAAATGTCATAGTCAAATTCACAGATCAGTGAGATGGTGACGACGTCTACAAAACGTCATGTGTTGTTTGACGTTTATACACTGAGCCTTACATGATTACAGGAAGAAGTTAAACAACGATCAAACAATCGATAAATACTAGTGTTCTGTAATGATATTTTTATAGCAAAGTTTACTAAAGTAATTATTTCAAAAATGTTTTAATGAGAAACATTTTAAATATTTATGGATAAATTGAAATAAGTATATATATTATATACTTATTTCAATTTAATATATAATGAGTATTTTCTTAACATTAATTAATTTTAGAACGTTTAAGATAGCATACCTATATATAAAGTGAGTACACCTAAATAAATTAGTTAGTATACGTATGTATATAAAATATAAGAAGCTGAATATAAAAAAACCTGTATACCTAATTAAATACTAAAAATATTTTTTGTGATTGTTGCCATATTCTCTGGTTTATAAATAGGTGTAAAAAGAATATGTTTGTATAAGACAAGGTAAAATAATAAGATATTGTAGGAGCATAAATATTATCAGCATAGACAGACAGAGGCAACTAAGCAGACGATTTTGTAATCGCTGATCATACATCACAACAGACGATTATTAGTAATGCGGACTGGAAGCCCATTTATTAGTCATGTAACTCGCAAGTCAGCTTGCACTACACTTACTACTTACCTTAGAAACTATCATGATTAATTTAAGGTGAATTCGCCACTTTCACAGATATTACATATCTCTACAGACTTAACTGATCTGCCTGACTTTATGCTCGCTTATCATTCTCCGCAGTTGTCCGCCAGCATATTACGTTAGTGCAGGCGAATGCACCGTTCCAGTTCCAAATTCATCTCGGTAAATAATAGAATAGAATAGCACATTTATAGTTAAAATATAAAAAGGTAATTGTTTAGTCTACAAGCGATTACTCAACTTCAAAAGAGGAAGACCATAGAAAAAAACTCAGCCAGTAAATTATTTGAATAATTTAGAGGCAGTGCGAACACATCATCTCGGATGATTGATAAGCTGCGCACACGCGAGCTTCTGCTTTATATTCTATTTGTCTTGGGAAGTTTGCTAACAACACGAACCGCCAACGACATAGTTCTACCTGGATGTGCTTTTATATAAATTAATATGATTGTTATACTAGTTGTAGCAAACATATACAAATTAGACAAATATATATATATATGGACCTAATAAATAAACATATTGTATATACTTATGTTTTATTTATGGTGTTGCTATATAGTCAACTGGTACTTCATTAATAAAATAGTAGATGGCGTATTAATAAACATTTATTTTATATTAAATATTGCGATTTGTATTTTCAACTTTTTTTATAGAACGCGCTATTAAAATTTAATTGAGCATTCTATATTTTGTACAGTATCATCTAATGAGCCCGAACGAACTAAGTTATCTATTAACATTAATTTCCTAAACAAAAACTGAAATTAACTTTAAACTTATTGTGCAAAAGGTCTATTATTATCAAACGCCAAATTGTTGCTTAATAACCTCATTTGACAGAAATACCACTGCGATACAGCCAGCTGACAATTTTAATTATTCAAAATAGCAAATTAAAACACGATTGCGAGGATACTGACTACTCGGACTTTAACATCGAAACCGCATCTGACGTTCACTAGGCTCAACAAAATAATACTTACAACTATCCTAATATATAATTATTTAAAATTATGATTATACGTAGCAAATATACAGCAAAACATAATTCCAATCTGATTACCGATATTAATGAAACAAAGCACAGATACAAAAAATATTGCGTGATATCGACATAGTTATTGTATTTTTATTAAATAGTTGCGACGCGACATTTTATAATGACCACTGGCAGTAACTTTCAGTAACCTTAACAACTAACTAACTAAACGAAAATAAAAACAATACCGCTTCTATAAAAAGTTTATATCTTTGACAGCCAGACCCCTGATCTTTCTACGGTGTTTACTATTAACCCCGCACAAGTTTTATGTTGGGCTCGTATTCAGTAAATAGGATACCCCCTTAAGTATAACGGAATAAATTTGTATGGGTTTAAGTTAGATCAAACAGGTTGAATACTGAAAAAAAGAATATAAACCTTATTCATAATGTAAATAAGGGGTAGGGTAGACTTATGTGTGTATCCATATCCACTTACTTATTGTTTAGTTTGGAATAATATTGATTACTATTTCTGTTATCTGTGCGTATACAGAGTTATTTTATGATTATATTAACTAGACCTATACTAACTGTTTTAATTCATTATGGTGTATAAGAGAGCCAAAGGCAGATTTTCGTCAAGGGGTACGGTATACTCGAACGAAACCTTATGTGAATAACAAAACATAAAAAAATATTGATTTCGAGTCGACAACATATATCCGCAAAATTCGGATTATGGAGTATTTATGTTAAATTCTAATGACATTGACAAATAAACCGTAGTCGCCATCTTTTCATTTCACTAGCATTTTCTTCGGTCATTGACGTTTCGCGAAAATATTGTTTTTGCCACTTTTTTATGATAAAAGAGTAGGTATCTATGTGTTTTTTTTAAACCTAAAATTGGCCGATTGCGAGATAAATTTGTCAATTTTTTTTATTAATTTGTTTTTCGACTTTGGATACAAGTCCTTTTTAGCCCAACTTAAAGTTTTACAAAAAAATAAAATTTATTTTTATGAAAACATTTGCGCTTTTTATTTATTATATTTATTAAACACAATGAACGAAGTTTTACAAATCTATGCCTTGCTCACTTTTAATATTCCATGAGAACCGATGACTACTGAAATATCTACCCACATTTCATCCGAGCGAAGCCGGGTTTTCATCTAGTAATAATATAAACACAAAATATAAATTATATGGCGCTATTTGTAAATAGTGCCAGCCATTTCGGCGTAATTGGAAGAAAAACATAAACACATACGCATTTGCTAAATACCGAAAATTAGAATAAATAATTATTAAAATATTATATTTACTATGGGTTCGCATATTAAACTCTTATCTATTTAGAAAAAATAAATTTATTTTGTGTTAGTATACATTTTACAGAGTTCGAGACTAAAAGTTTACAGAGGTCGAGAGAGTATTTTATTTGCCTGATAGGAATATTAGACGTCATTTTCTAATATCCATTCAATTAGATATAATATTAGATTACATGGTACGTATCAGAAACGCATTTGACTCCCAAATATAAGTCTAATTCTAACAATGCAGGTAATGTGCTGTATACAGCTATATACCTAAACATACACGATCAAATGCATATAGTTCTCTAGAACATATAAATGCAACGATAAAATTTAAAAGTATATTAAAAAATAAATTAATCGTGATATTTGATAAACGTAGTAAACGTGCTAAAAATATCCATTTATGATGAAATCAAAATTACGAAGGCTTGAGCCGAGGTACGAATCCCTAGCGGTGCCCTCAGACTAAAGTCGTATCCGTCAGGCGGGAGTTGGCATTCAGCCGCTCCATAAGTCCTTCCGCGGGTTTGGAGTGCCATCTGCCCTCGCCCTATCGTCCGGTGAAGTTGTAAAGGACAGCTACGGCTAACAGCATTAGAGTAGTCCGAAAAAAAAAACCTAAAAATCTTATCAAATTAGTTTCTTCAAATAGGTTGAATAGAAATTTTAATAGTTTTACTCGTCTTCTTGTATTCACGTCTGTATTTTCATATAGATATCAGCCTTTCCATATATCATTACTTCATTAGTGCTTTTGGGTAAATATTCATATAGGTACATAATGTTAGTTTTTATGCAATTTTAGCGCCGTCTCTCTTTTTTTTTTTTTTATCAAAGGTGTAGGTAATAACTGGCTTCATATTCATATAATTACATATATTCCACGCGAACTAGTTCCAACAAAGACAATTTCAGAGGGCAGAAGGTATATTTGAAGCAGTCTGGCGTGTTTTCGAGATTGCGTCGCTAGTCACTACGCCTAACTTTAAGCATTGTGCCTGCGTACGAACTGGTGAAGCTATCAAACTTTATAACACTGTCTAATACAATGCTATATGCAAACGTACTAGAACTTTAGAGGGAATATTACGTTTCAGTTCAGAATAAGGCAAGGTAGGCACCAAAACCTTTTAAGGTGTACCTGATAATTAACTTAGAATTATATGTTATTTGGGATAAATTAATTTATCACGATAAAATGTGGGATAAGGGAGAAGCAGATCATGATGATGACAAAAAATGGCATATATTTTCACAGATTATTCACAGGTATTGATTGATAAACAAACTGCTTTATTTTGGTTTTAGAATTAGTTTCAAAGAAAGGAAGATGAAATCCTAAAGAAATTTATAAACGCCGAAGTTTACTGAATTAACATTTTGGTCGAAACGTACAGTAATAATGATTGGAAGGAAAATACAAAGAGTAAACTTGAGTAAATAAAACTAATAAAAATCTTAAGAAAAGAATATAATTATTTTCTTTATTAGTAGTAGTAGTTAAAAAAAGAGAAGAGACTAATTTAATTTGGAGTATTATCGACTCCGGTGAGACTAAAGATTAAATGAAAAAATACTATTTTTTTATACTTACCTACTCAGAAAAAGTATTTTATCAAAGTAGATTTTATAAAAATCTGTCTCTTTCTCAGTCTCAGATATTTCAAGTCGTCAATTGCTTGCTTTATAAAATGCCATACGGTCGAAGAGTGAGATGCAGTGTTTTTGAAAGATAAGGGGCATCAATCTCTCCTCCTCTGAAATACATGAGTCCTTTGTATGAGTGGTATTACGGGAGTCGCACAATAACATAATGTTCGTAGTGCTTTTCATATATACTATACAATTATCGTCAGGTCAGAACAGGGAGCGTCAGTTTATTTGCCATTCCAATTACATTTTTTAATATTTTCCGGCCAAGAATATCCAATAAATACATTTACAAGTTATCACTATCCAGCGTATATTTATCTCTATTAGATAATAGCTGACGACAAGGTCAATAAGTAACAATGTTTCACAACAGTTACAATGAATTCAGTCGGCTCTTGTTTATTGTCAACAAAAGTCATCACAAGTGCGTTTTTGTGAACTGATTTCAATTTAACAAAACCTAAGTTAGAAAGGTAGCGTATAGTAAAAATAAATTAACATTTTTATTCACTATCATTAATTTATTATAGGTACATGATATATGTATTTTATATATCCCACATTGCGTACCCCACGTTGTAATACTAAGCAAAGACTCAGTGATAATATTTACAGAATTGAATAACTTTGATATCCCGGAAAATAAAAAATATTTAAATTTATGTGAATGTTGACTAACTATTGAACAGATTCACAGAAACTATTGGACATTGTTATCCAGATTTATTTTGAATTGGCCATTATTTGAGCAAATTTGGAAATATATATACAACATTCGATCATTGATTTCATGTACAAAACTCTAGAAATTTATTCATTGTGCGGTAGGTATCTATGTTTTTTTAATTGACAGATATCAAATGGGAATCTTATCAACCTCAATACCTATATGACTTAACATAAACTTAAATATAAACGTACCTACTCATCACATACTTCAAGGACATACGTAGTAGGTAATTTAGAAAATTCATAGTCATCCTGTGACATGAATAGTCACAGGATGACTATGAATTTTCTAAATTACCTTATAGAGAGGTGGTGTATTTAAGTACTCGATAACAGCTTTGAGTCCATAATAATACAAATATGTAAATTTTTAAATTCTATTACGAAGACTGCAAAATATTTTGAACTGTCATTTACCTTTTATTGTTAATGTATTTTAACTTTATTTTAAAACGTCTTTAAACTATTTATAATTTAGTATAATATAAATATACACAATAGTTTTGCGAGAACTCGAAAAGTGTTATATGTTATATGTAGGTAGATATATAATTATTAATGTTCGTTTTAATAAATACTTTTTATTATTGTTTTAGATGCCGATCAAAATATACAAAGTGGATTTAAGCCCTCCGGCACGTGCTGCAATGATGGCTTGCGAAGTAAATGGCGTCACCGCAGAAATGGTGGACGTAGATCTCGGAAACGGAGAACAAAAGACACCAAAGTATTTGAAAGTAAAACTATAAATATTAGTTTAAAGTTTTTATTATACGTACTTTAACAACTCTGCATGCGTCTGTAGTCAGCAGAATATGGTAGTGCCTTCCGCCATGTACGATGTACATAGCCGAACCCAATATTTTTACCACTTAAAACTATAATTTTGTTAGTTATAAGTTTGACATAAAGTGTGTTATGTATATATATAACTACAGAAATATGAACCTCTCTTCTGAAAAAATATTAAGTTCTTTTTAATATAATACAATAAGAAAAAAATAAATATAAGAGCTAATTTGTCACTTTAGGCAAATATTGATACATATACATTCAATTTCAAAATATTCTCATTATATAAAAGTACTAAGTTTTAATTTTTTTCTAGATGAATCCACTTCATACTGTACCAGTATTAGAAGATGGAGATCTTATTATAACTGACAGGTATGTTTAAGAAATGTGAAATCCATAATTATTTTAATTTACAAATATGATCTTGTACAATTACTATTACTTGCACTACTATAAATACTTGATATCTTATTTCACACAATTACAATTTCCAAGTTTAAGAAAAATTATAAATATTTATCTTTTAAAAAGTTTGATAGTCTTTTATGCAAAAGCTGGTTGAAATTGTAGGTACACAGATAATTCATAGCCTAGATTAACAATCAATTACAATTTATTATCACCATCCAATGCAATCTGGCTCGCTAGTTTTGACATGGGTAGTAGTAAAGCAGTAGCATGGTTGTAGGGTAACTAATATTGAAATAACTAATCTAATAATAATATGTTAAAGCAACGCTATATTGATATATCTGACGGAAGTTTATGGCAAAGATGAGACTCTATATCCAAAAGACCCGAAACAAAGAGCGATGGTGAATCAAAAACTGTTCTTCAGCGGTTCTATTTTGTTCAACAGATTGCGTAATGTAACGGTAAGTATCTTTAATATTTATCTGTATTCGATCCTAGTCAGTATCGGAGTAAGCACAGAGTCTTCTGTCTTCAAATTATGTAGGTCCGTAATTTGTACAAAATACTTATAATTCATTCAACTTGTCTAATAAATATTTTCTAGGATGAGTTTTGTTATAGAGGAATGACAAATTTCTTAAGCCTCAGAAGTAGATAATTTTGCCATTCTAATTACATATAAAATATATACATGCGAGTTGAAATAAGTATGATTATGTGTGTGTTAGTAGTAGGTTTGCGTGTGAGCATGTGTGTATGTGTGTGTGTGTGTGTGTGTATGAGTGCGTGTGTATAACGCGTCCAACTCTCGGTACAGTTTTACAATTATATTGACTTTTAGGGTATATAGCATCCCTTTTTTTAGTGTTTCATATATAGTTGTGATTTCAGTACTATGTTATAATAGAAGGAATGAGGGTTATACCACAAAGACTATATGATGAGATAGAAGAAGCCTATGGTTTCTTAGAGGAGTTCCTGTCTCGTAGCAAGTTCTTGGCCGCGGACCATATGACTATTGCTGATATTGCTGCTATAGCAAACGTTACCGCACTCCGTCTCATACTTCATCATGACGAGAAAAAGTGAGTATTTATCACTATGACACTATATTACCTACTAGCGGCTTATCCTAGCTTAGCACTGGTGGACAGTATATGAGATGAAAACTTTTTGTTTGTCATAGTCTATGTTATTCAAGGATAAATAGGAAATCTAACGCATAGGCTTAATAGAAAGGATATTACAGAAAACCTATTTAAAGAAACATAGAGCTTGTGCTATCGATATAAACAGTTTATGGGTACATAAAATACGTTTTTTACAAATACATACATAAGAAAATACATCTTGTTCTCTACACAAAATTATTAGGTTTTGAATGATAATTTCAATTACTTATGAATTTTTATTTTACATTCTAAATGTAAAATAATTTATTACATTTCAATTTCTAGACAGATATGGCTGACAAATTTATTTTTACAGAAACCTATAGTTTATAATTGTTAGCAACAAAATATAGTACAGATTTTTAAAATATTCCTTTATTTTGTAACATTGTTTCAGATATCCTAAAACTGTGTCATGGATTAAAGAAATGGAAAAACAACCTTTCTGTAAGAAATACAATGCACCAGGAAACGTCATGTTAGGGAAAGTCTTCAATGAGAAATTAAAAAGTTAATTAAGTTTTTTTATTTTAATTTGTTTACAATTTCTCATAATATCACGTTAGAATATTGCAATCTTATTTTATAAAGATGGATGCAATATTATAAGTTGTTTTTTTTTTAATTGTTCAAGGCAATTTGTTTTTTCTTTGAAGACATAATAAATAAGATTAATCGTTAAACCTCTTATTCTTTATTTTCTCCTTTCCTAATAGAACTATTTTATAATTTGTATAGTATATTGTTGTAAGTTATATCTTCATATTAAATAGGTTAACACGATCCGCGCAAATGAAGCTGGCTCTTTGGTAGACTTCAATAATCCATAATAGACGTAGGTGTAGTATTTCGTGCGAAATATCCGACTATCGAGGGAGAATATTATGTACACTTTGTGTTTGTTATAGATAAATCGTAGTACATAAATCGATAAATAAATACACAAAGTGCAATTTCATACAGAGTAGAAGATGTAAGGTAAAATTAATTTTTATGGTAGGTATCTATTTATTTCAGCAATGTCATTTTTAGACGTATGACATTCTACTGAAAATTAGTTATAGATTATATTTATACCAAACGTTTTTTAAGTAGGCCATTTGCCAGTCTCTTTTAAATTAGATTAAGTTTTTATAATATGCGTATTTGTTGGTCTTTTTATACAATGTTTTAGATTTTTTAGTTGACTTTGACTATACCTATTCTACTTTGAACTTTGTTTATTGAGTTCATTATTCAATATGCACTATAGAAAACAGTTTCAGATTTGTTCTTTTTAATTAAACTGCATTTGGAGGAAATTAGAGGAAATAATACTAAAACAAATAATTCATATCTGTCTGTATATAAAATTCATTGTAACTGTACTACAGCAACGAAATGAAAAGCAAATAGTAGTATGTATAAAGCATAACAGATGCATGCACAGGAACGTTTCAACGCTGCCGAGATTGGATTGAAGTGGGCCCAATGCCAGTTACACGATACACAGACAGACATTGCGATATTGTGAATAAATCGTGAGGTACACTCTGACCATGATATATGCCGGTACAAATTGGATTTATTTCTCGCTTTCCCTCCATTGGTACAGAACAGAAACTGTTATTGCACGTATGAACGATGAGGTGCCATGAATAAAATATTTTCAACGGGATGCGTCACGCATCCTTTTCGCTGTCAATGATATACAATCGGATGAAGTGTACGATGATTTGTTATTGATTTTATTTGGTGTTTAGTTTTATTGAGCCGCAGTTATACCAGTCGTGAGATTTGTTGTTTCTTCTAATACACGAAGCTTTAGTTATTGTTAATGAGTTATGAGATCGATGATTTAGTTACTAATCTACAATTGGTTAAAAACTTGTTGTTATCTTATTCCTATAACATTCCCCTATTAGTCAAAAAGTACGTAGTAGAGCGTCAATGAATGGCTGAATAGATTGTATCACAAGAACTTTTTGCCTAAAAAGTAGATAAATTCGCGGGTGACAGCTTGTGTACCATACCGAATATTCTATTTTCTAGCTCTTCTTATCTATTCCATGTTGTTGTTTGAACATCTCTATACTCATATTTGTAAATGTCAAATAGAAAAGCTTGTATTTATTTAGTATGTACTTAATTTCAGTGAGAAACTAAAATAAAATTATTAGCTTTTTACCTTATTTACTACATACTTAATAGATGTCTGTTCAGGAGGAAGAAGATTGTTAATAATGGGGGCTTCTACATACCCCTTGAAACTAGGTGGTTCATTACTGATGAAATCGTAAGATGGGCTAGGCTGAATGGCTTGGTTGACTTATTGTTCATTCAATCATCTTCCACTAGTACCCCGTTAATGAATACAGTTGGTGCATACGGGAGTGTTATTACATTATAAAATATCATCAAAAAATGTCTTCACGACATGGTTTTTGGTTTTGAAGCCGTAAGTTTTTACTAACAGGATTGCAGTATTGAAAAAAATAACCTTAATGAAAATTTTCATTGAAGACGTCTTCAAGCTTCCCAAATGCCTTTAGTAATAATATATATATATAATCTGTAGGATTTCAAATAATTAGTATCCATTTAGTTAAATAGAAATGTTCTTTTATCTTACTTTAGAACTTTGTCACAGTTTATTCGGTAATAGTATTGCTTCACTGTAAACCAATATCAGAACGAATAGCTCCCAGTTCTGCATGCAAATGCCATTTGCTGGATTTATGCTTCATTGTGAAACGATTCATTCCTATTTTGCTTTACGTTTCATTTGTATATTTACCGTTTCATCTATTTTTGGAGTTTTTTCATGCGATATTCATATAGTTGACTATGAACTTTATTTCTGTTGGGTTAGTGTTTATTTCAGATCAAATTGTGTATATCGAGTATTCGAGTATTGTCTTTGGGGACATATATTTCAATAACTCTGTTGGTATCGCGAATAAATCGTTCTTTTAGACATCTGATAGTAATTTACCTCCTTAATTTTCATGGCAAATTATCGCAGTGTAATAATGTGAAATTAAGAGTAATATGCCTATAACAAATTTCACTTTATGCTCACTACCTATTTACTGTAAAATGCGTATAGTTTTATAATATAGGTACATACAATTATTTTAGTGTATGGTTATTTGGATGTATGAGATTCACAAATTGTGCTTTAAGCATTGTTAATTAGTCATGACTGAACCTGTGTTAGTAAATTGATATACAGATGGACTATATCTATATAAATACTGGATAATGCACTAAATTTCCATGCAGACTACTTTTACTTGCAAAGTAAGATTATATTATTGTTAATTTTCACATAAGCAGCACATTCTCTGTTCTCGTTTCAAGAATTAAGGATTATTAATAACGGTACATTACGTTACCTGAACAAACTCTGCATAATACAATTTAATTAAACACAAAATGTGCCTATTTACGAAATAAACAAATAAATTTAAGTGCTTTGTATATTCAGCTACGTGGCGCGTACTAATTAGATTTGAGGTTGGAATAATTCTGACTTTCCCTGATATCGGTCAATGTATACATTTATTTAACGACAGAACCTTGCTTTGACCGTTGTTAAATAATTGATGGTGGTGGAGCACGTAAATTGCTACTTTTTTATCCCATTTAAAAATTAACCTATTTTCGTCGAGACTACAGGTGATATTGTGGGTAAAATGTGACGGACACCCTATTAGGCGGCTGTGTGCGAGCGTAAAATAATAATGTTGCTTTATACCGTTTGAAGTGTAAAACGCTATACATAGATTCACTCTGGTTTGGTGCTGTGTTAAATCTAAAAAGATTTTCTGGTAAATTATTTCAAATCATATATTCCCTGTTATACAAATACTTATATTTCGCATGTTATTAGTTTACAAATAAATATGTGTACAAAAAGAGACCAGATCTATCAAAACAGATTTAAGAAGTAAACATGTGCTTAGTATTACTAGGCTACTAGAAGAAATTTTATACCTACATGTAAGGGAATTGACATAAGCCGGCGAAATAATGTGTAGATAGCTCATGTTGATCTTATAAAACTATCTTCCACTAATATATGTCAAAGTAATATAGGACCAGCTCAGATTGTAGGGGAGTGGTAGGGCTAACGGGCTAACTAATGTACATATATTGTCATCCTATCAACTGCCACTGGTGTCTTACCAGTGTACACCATAAATATAGCCAACGGTGACTTACATGGCAAACAAAAGATTAAAAATAATTTTAAATCTCGCGATTTCGATTGTAATCTAACAAATTACAATTTTACAATATAAATCCACAAAGTTTTGGTATTATAACTTCTGAGGTAGCGTTAAATTTGCTGCAACAGCATCTCAAGCTATTATCGAACCAAGAATGGTTTCTAAGGCGAATGAACCAACAAGTTATCTGTTTAATGAACCACGAACGTTCAGGTAATGAACTAATTAATCGTTCCCGACTAAGTGGCTGACAAAGGGGCCATGACTAATCTGTTTAAGTAACGCAGATAATAATTGAAGATATTAAAGCAAAGGCATTTGTTATTTTTTTATATGCTTTAACTACTTAAAATAAAAATAATATATATTTGTAGTTATAATTGTGGTCGTTTTTGTCGACACTCTTGATACGACTTATGCGTAGCCATTCCAGAAGACATTGATGTTATTCATATTCCTTAATTTTACTGTCTTAAATAAACTTGCGTTAAAGTGCTAATAGAGAATATATTGAGAACGGCAACTGGGGTAATAAGCTGTTTAACCGAAATACAACTTTAGGCTGGAATAAGTCAGAGAGGTAGGTACTTACGCAGACGTTTTACCACAGATAATCAGATTTTTCAAATTTCTAGACAATTTAAAATATATAATGAATATTGATTATACAGAAGAGTGGAAAGGGTCCCCTAGTAGCATGATATGTAGGAATTAAAATTACACCGTAATTCACAGAATTGGGTTATGCGATTGTGGGAACACGCTTATGACTTAGTGGGTATTGTTCAGTCACTATCCTGACTAATGTCACGTCGACCCTCGTCACGTCACAATACTAAGTCGTGTTACTAAAAGCATTACTATATTCTACAAACAAAGCATACAAAATGTTTGAATAGGTCGCTCTAAATTTAATGTGTTACTGACGGTATAAATAAGTCTATATTTTTGATTGATATTCATATAAATATGTCAGCAACTAGTGTTGGTGATATATGGCCATTTAAATACCTGTTTATAATTTCAGAATTGTCTAAACATTATTATATTATATAAACATAAAGTTTTTACTGTCAGCACAGATAAGATAATTTTAGTAACTTTTTGTTCATCATCATTTAACTTAAATTAATCTAAAAATTAGTTATTTAAAGCTATAATAAGCTGTTACCCGCAAATTCACTTGACACTATCTAGAAAGGTTATGGAAAGGCTACACTTTTGTCTTTAAAATATTAATACAGATATATTATCTATCTGTTCTGTGTATCTATCTATCTGTTTATTTCGTTTAAGATATACTTTACATACAGTAAAGCATGAGAGGAATTATTACCATCACAAGATGATGGAAATGCCCTGGTGTTGTTTATGTATATTTGTAACGATAACAATATAATCTTAATACAATTCAT